TGAACCATGAATGGATCGTAGTTTACAAACACATGAACATGGGCAGAACGGTCACAGGTGCGTGTGCTTGGCGTCACAGTTTGGCCAATATCTGTCACAACGTCGGGGAATCTCAAAGTTGCGCACGGTGGACTTCATCTTCTTCGCCGCACGGTGGCGTTTTTACCGTAGTTTTGTGTCAGGAAAGATTGCTACGAAAGGAATTGGATGCCATCGGGTTCTACGAGACAAGCAGCTTGGAGATTTGCGACGAATTGCTATTTTCTCCGTCACGATCATGTTTGCCTTGGCAGGTGCGGGTTGTCGTGCGGTGGTGCATGCGTTCCGCTGCCTCGAACGAAACCGCGTTCTAGTTTGCACCCCTACGCTATCGGAAGCATGATTGTGAAGGGATAATTGTGGGCGGGATGGAGGCTTCATGGCTACAGGCTACGCCATAGACATGCATCACCTAACGTGCGGAAGCTATCGTCGGATCTTTGAGAAGAGTGTAGTACCAGGCGTCGTTGCCTGTACTCCCAACCACGGTTGGAAAGGGCGCCACGTGCGATGAAACGCTGTCCAGCTTCTTCTCAAGGCTCGTCCTCGTGCCGAGTCGAGCTCGCTCGACGACATGCTTCACGTTCGTGCGCATGATCAAAAGTATAGCCAATGGGGAGCTGTGCACAAGAACGCTGCATTTCACCCAATCATATTTTCAGACAACGGTGAAGAAGATGGCGGCGTCGCGAACGTCCACTTGCTGCCTTGGTGTGGTGATCTGTGGTATTGTCAGCGCGATTGGGTTGCTTGGCCTCGGCCTCGTCTACTGGAGCATTCCCGCAGGCAAACCATCCTTCCATACCTTCACAAAGCTCGCGGCGGAACGCTTCACTTCCGAAGCTGAGCTCCACGCCGCCAATCCACTTGTCCACCACGATGTGTCGGACTCGCATAGCCATGTGCTCTTCTCGTGGCAAAGTCCATTGTGCGCCAAGCACCTTGATGAGCATGACCGCGACACAATGCAGTCGCGCTTCCACGTCCAGCACTGGTCCGACGTGACGTGGAAGGACATGTTTCATACTCTTTCGTCGTTAAACAGTGGCGCTACAGACGACCCTGTCGTGACCGCGCTTCCAAGAAATATCTACACCAACGATTGTTTTGCATCGTTGGAGAATGTCCGAACGTCCCAGCAAATTTCATTTCGCGTTCGAAGTCGCGCCGACCCAGGTGCGATCTTTCAATTGTTCCAGTCACCGTGGAGTGCTTGGAGCAATACGGTGGTCTTGCCTCCTTTTCGAACGTCCCCCGGCGACCACGGTGACGACAGAGCCTTCTACGATCAACTGTGGTGGGGACTCACAGTGGTGAGCTTGGTGACGGCCCTGTATTCGCGATGGAATGTTGCGCCAGGTGCTGAAACCTCCATGAAGCGTTCCGACGGACACCTTGTTGTGTTAGACACCATGCACGGAGCTGCAAAGCGCAAGATCGCAGCGCTTCAGGAGGAAGTGACGAACCTCAAACAAGAACTGCTCGATGCCGAAAACGAAAACAAGCTCCTCATGCGGCTCAAGGGCTACGGACTGGAGGTGCTGTCGTGGAAAGAGCTCCATGAGTTGGAACATGAATTGCACGTCGGCTTGGAAACCATTGAGCTCCACAAGGAAGTGCTGCACCCGTCGCTTCTCGATAGCGGCAGCCATTGCAGTAGCTCGGCCAGCAGCCGAAGCCACACACCGCCGCCCAGTCCACGCCCCCTCCAGCACAACTAATATTTATACGCCACTCAATATTAAAAGAGTCAGTTCTTAAGTCGCGACCGAGTCCATGTCAGGGCACTCGTACGCAAATCCTGAAAACGTGTCGGACGTCGTGCGATCTCGCTGCGGTTTTTCGAGAATCTCTACGCTTGGGAGCGGCAGTCGAGTGAATTCGGCTTCAAAGTTGAGTGGCGTTTCTTCATTGGCGGTTGTGCGGCACGGCCGGAATGGCGGCGGCATTTTTAAAGCAAGCAAAGCCGGCCAGTCGATCGTTTCGAAAAACGGATGCGCCTTCACTTCGTTTGCACCACGTGCGCCGAGTCGTTCGGACGGATTGCGATTCAACAGCGCTCGGATCAAGCTCTCAGCTTTGTGCGACACGTACGGTGGAAAGTGCAGACGGGCGGATCGGAGACGGTCAAACAACTTTTGGCGGTCGTTCGTGTACCATGGAGGCAATCCCGTGAGCATTTCAAACAGCACCATGCCTGAAAGATGATGAACAAAGTAAATTGCAGATGAAGGGACGCGTACCCAAATTCCACCAGTCTACGGCTGTGCCATGGCCGAGTCGATCAAGTATCTCTGGGGGCAAGTACTCTGGCGTCCCGCACAACGAATTCGTACCGTTGACTCCGTCTGTAATTCCCTCTTTGGCTAACCCAAAGTCCGCTATCTTACAGTGTTATGCCCCGCAACATGTTCAAGTGAGTACCACAAACGTACCCAATTTGACATGGCCTTCCTTGGTCAGGAGGATGTTCTCGGGCTTCAAGTCTCGGTAAACGACTCCAAGGCTGTGCAAGTGTTCCAGCGCCAGAGTGATCTCGGCCGCATAGTAGCACGCCATGTGTTCCGGTAGCTTCTTCATCCGTGTCAAGTGGTAAAAGAGTTCCCCGCCGGGGCAATAGTCGAGCACAAAATAGAGGCGCTGGGGGGTCTGGAAAGCGTAATGGAGGCCGACAATGAATGGATGCTTGGTGTACCCCAGAACACGGCGCTCAGTTCGAGTGTGCTCTACTTGTTTGCGCTTGACGATATTAGCTTTGTTGAGCATCTTCATTGCGTAGAGCTTCTTGGTCGCTTGGTGCCCCACCAGCACGACTTTGCCAAACGAGCCACGGCCAATCACTTGGATCATTTTGAAGTCTTGGAGTGTTACGCGGGGCTCATTGGAATTAGAGTTCAGAAACGCGCTCGGTTGCTCAACGAGGAAGGGGGGCTGGTCGGCTTTCCACGTGAGGAACCGAATGATGTCTTCGCAAGTTTGAGGCGGCACGGACGACGGATCTTGGGTCAATAGGTTATCGATCCAAATGCCGAGGTCGGTTTGTCGCTTGGAGATAAAGTCGGGCTCGAACGAACCGATGATCTTCTTTGGAGGCAGCGGCGGCAACTTTAACCCAATTTTTTTTGCCTTGAGCTACGTGATCGTGAGCAATGTGTGTGCACGGTTGCTGTCATGTACTTGGTCGTAGAGGGCCGTGAAGTCGCGATACCGCCGATAGACACACCATTGATGCTCCGCGCATGTCATTTCAATGATGTAGATAGTGTACAGGCGCGCCATCGCGTCTTCGACGAAGGCGTGGCCTTTGATGCGAACAAAACTTGCTTCCTTACCGACGGGGATTAAGTAGACGGCTTGGGCGCGAGAATCTTCTTCCTAGTAGTGTGCCGTTGATTTGACGACGAAGTTACACTGAATACTTACTTCTTTCGCTTGAACCTCATGGACGGGACAGTACCCCGACTTTCGGGTGTGCTGCGTTGTGCAACGAGCAAAAGAACAAGGCAGCAATTTCGTCGTCCGCTCTTTCACTTCATCCATAAGTTCGGCTGCTTGGTCTTCTTCCTTGTCTGGATTGGATGTCGGTGGTTCGATTTCGACGTCAGTCGTGGCGTCGGCCGAGTAGAGCATCAACAGGTCTTCCCTACGCATACACATGATACCATCTTGCTGCGTCGTGGTGTGTGGGCATGCCGTACGTTTGATTGAGTTGGTCTTTCGCACTGTCCAGTGTCATGAGGCTGTAGTGTTGGTCGATCTCCTCCACGCGGTAAGATCGGCCGCTGTCGAGATCTTTCACCAAATATCCCTCCATCACGTCGATCCCCGACGAGAACTCACTGTCAACATCGTAGTCGTCGGTGGACGTGCTTGAGCCTGAATTTGATCCAGAGTGTGATCCTGTCGGCATCTTGTACGTCGTCGCGGGGCCGCCTAGTTCCGCCAAGGACTGGGTACCGTGTAGGAAGTAAGTAACAAGACTTCGCGCTGCTTGATTTCAATGGAAACCTGTAGTTTTGCATATTGGGAATATCAATTCATGCAGGTTTCATGTAGCATGCTAAGTCCAAGTCACAGAATTTACGCTGTTGGGAGAGGCTTCGAGTAAAACGCATCTGGTGATGCCAAAAACGTCGAAACGAGTGGAATGTTGACTGGGGCAACATGCAAGGACGGGCATGCGTTTTATACTTTAACGCTTCTTGAAACCCAGGGAATATTCGTCTCACCGTGGCAACGCCAAGGTTCCTGGTCTGCAGCATGGACATGCGCTCGAGAGATCTCAAGTGCCGCGAGGAGCCGTGATGACGCCATGACAGCTGCGGCGGCAGAGTATGCCTGTATTGGTTAGGACGAAGCCGAGCGACAGCGACGTTAGGATGTGCCATGCATGAATACCGTACGTAGAATTGGCTGGCGACAACAGAGACAGATACGACCCAAAGTTAAAACATAAATGCCTTCTTGACCTTATCCATCGTGAGCTGCTTGTCGGGATTCTCGAGCCCTGCTATTGCGTCAGCCACGTCGCTGTACGTTTTCGCGGCGGCATTTACAATTTGTGTCGATCCGTCCTACGGATTGCGCACAGTACACCGACGTTAGGCGTCCGCCTCAGGTGCTTCGTGCGCTTCGTACCTGGTTGGCCGACGTGAACGACGTGTGCGAGACGGCCAATAAATGTTTGACTACTTCGAGGTGACCTTCAATCGCTGCGACTGCTAGTGGCGTGATCCCAAGCTACCGAAGGTTGTAATCCATCCAAGAAGGTGTGTAGCCTTACAATACTGTCCCGAGCATCGACGTTGGCGCCATGTTCCAGCAATAGCTTGACTATCCGTAATTGCCCCGTTTTAGCGGCCAAATACAGCGCTGTGCACGCGTCCTATGCAAATCTTGCTGGTGATTCCCCTGAATACTCAAGTCGCAAGTACTTTTCGGCGAGCTTCGACGTTGGCCCCGCGATCAAGGAGGACTTCCACCATTGCATATTGGCCCTTTTGAGCGGCAATCATGAGCGGTGTCGTGCCATCCTAGCAACCTTTTGAGCGAGGGAATGATTTTGCCGGACGAAAGGGGTAGAGCCGTACTATGCTCGACGCTTCGATGTCCACTCTGCTGTCAATGAGGAATTGCGCCAGTTCTACGTGCCCTTTCTTCGCCGCAAAGTACAACGGGGTGCAACGGTCCTACGAAAGGGTATCAAATCACGGACGGCGCACCTCATCCGTCGCGTACGTTTCGACTCGCCTCCAAGTTTGCCCCGCGACCGCCCAAGTACTTGACGACCTCGACGTTTCCTTTTTTGGACGCAATGACGACAGATGTTCGTCCATTCTACCGCATGAGTATGACTACACGAGTGCCGTGACGAGTTAAAGGACTTTTCGATTCGTTTCGATATCTGCTCCATGCTCGAGCAAGCTCTTGACCACTTCAACATGGCCACGTTTCGAAGCAATGTACAATGCGGCTCGACCTTCCTGCAACGAGCCACGTTTTTATCGCCGACACGCGCGACGCAAAACGAGACGTACCGATGTCTTTCGATCTACTTCGGCTCCTTTCTCCAGCAAGAAGTCCACAGTTCGTCGATGCCCTTTCTCCGCCGCAGCATGCAACACTGTCACTTCATCCTACGATCGGCCAGTCCCTTGCTTTGTGAACAATACTCATTCGACCACAAGCGGTCGCGTACCGGTCCGAGGGGCATGTTGATATCGATTCCACCGTTGACCAAGGCTCTCAACTTGACGACGTCATTGCTTGCCGCGGCGTCGAAGAGCTGCTTTGACGCGGTGGTGCCCATGTGTCGAAATTCTAAAATTACTTCTGTCGCGCTGTGAACTTGGTCGGCAAATTAGCCAATGAAATCTACATACTCTTCCTCTAAATGGGCTTTTCAGCCAATCAATGCAACTCGTTCAAAGGATACAACCGGACCGACATGCGCAGTGACACCAGACGGACAAACATGGCAGGGGACGAGCAGCCCAATCTGGTGCCATCGAACGCGCCGGTGCCGCCGCGGCGAGAAGTGGCAGATGGTTCCTACTCCTTTGAGTGCAATATTTGCTTAGACCATGTGAAAGAGCCCGTGGTCACGTTGTGTGGACACTTGTATTGGTACGTTCAGGACAAAGAGCCTCCGTCGCATTGCTGATCTTCTTTGTTTAGCTGGTCTTGCCTGTATCGCGTACGTGCGCACGCTCTTGACGAAATGAACACACACATCCAATCGTGTAGTGGATATCTCGCAACAATCAATGCCCAGTATGCAAGGCAGGTGTGACGCAGGAAAACGTCATTCCAGTGTACGGCCGTGGGTCGTCTGCAGCGGATCCGAGGTAATCGACGCTCCAACCACATTGCCTCCAAAACTGTTTTAGGAAGCACACTTCCCATCTTGACGATGACGTGCCCGACCGTCCGAGAGGACAACGACCGGAGCCTGTTCAACGACGCAGCCGGTTTGCAGTAAGTGCGCCATGCTTCCTCGCGTCCCTTTTATTCGTTTCTTAGCTCGGACTCGACACCATGCAAGACATGGGGTTTTCACCCATCATCGGATTCTTTCCTTCCCTCTTCGGGCTCCAATTTGTACGTCTCAGCCTCCCGCCTCTTGAGTCGTCATGTGTGACATAGCAACCAGCTGCACATCCCGTCGCCGTCGCGCCAACGGGTACGTCGACTCGATCAGAGCATGCTTATTCTTTTGGTATTTAGGCGCTGCGTCAGAGGCCGAAGCGCAGCAGCGCGTGCAGCACATTTTCCTATCGCGATTGTTGATGGTGCTTGGGACATTGGTTTTGCTCAGCTTAATTTTGTTTTGAGCCGTCCCTCGATACAACCTGGTCGCCCAACAAATATTGCATTCACTCATATTTTACACGCTTCAAAACACGGACACATCGCACGTCTCACGCGTCGACGGGGTCGCTCGCGAGCTTGTCTGCGAGATGCTCCATCGTCCGATTCGCAAACGCGACCAGCGGCGCAGTGCTGAATTCAGTGCGGGGTACCACGTCCAACACAAACACAGACCCAATGACGTATCCGTTGGGGGACACGAGCGGTGCCGAGGCGTAGAATCGAATGCGTGGTGTACCATTGACAAACGGATTGTGCACGAGCCGGTTGTCGTGCAGGGTGTCCAGTACGACGGTCGGCAGCGGGCTCACGGTGTCGCACAGGCTGATGGTTCGGGGAATCTCCGTGAGACCGAGCCCAACGCTCGCCTTGAACCACTGCCTCGTGTCATCCATAAAGCTCACTGCAGCGATGGGGCAACCATAAGCGACCGTCGCCTCGCCGCAAATGTTCTCGAAGAAATCGTCGGCTGGTGTGTCCATAATCTTGTAGCTGTTCAACATGTCCAAGCGATGTTCATCGTCAGACACTTCCGAGTTCTCGAGCGCGCACACGTCGTCGCAACTGCCCGAGTTCAAGAGTTTTCGAGACGCGAAGAAGTGGTGGGCGTCCGCTAGAGTCCACTTTGGGTAGCAGGACAGAGTCGATTGTCGTTGGGCTTGCAGCCACGGATCGTCCAAATAGTAAGCAGCTCTGTCGAGGTGGTCAAGGACGGCGGCCGCCAAGTTCGTCAGCGCAGCGATGTCGCATCCCGCGTCGTTGATATCCTCGCGAGGTGTGTCGTCGAACCCGCAAACGGTGCCAATGACGAGACCGGTCGGGGTGGTAATCGGGGCGGCGGCGTAAAAACGGACGTTGGCTTGCGTGACAAGGGGGTTGGCTGCAAATCTCTTGTCCATTAGAGTGTCTGGCACCACGATCGGGCTGTTCGACACGAGTGCATGCGTGCACAGACTGACGTGACGCGGCAATTCCGACACGGCAAGGCCCAATGTCGCCTTAAACCATTGTCGATCGTTGTCGATAAAGCTGACGGCAGCGGTGGAGCAGTTGAGCGCCTTGGTCGCCAAGTCACACACGATATCGTACATGTGGTCTTTGGGGGTGTCCAGGATATTGAACTGCGTCAACGCCTCGAGGCGCTCGACTTCGTTTGGCGGAGTTGGGGCCACCCAAGCCGCGGCAGCGGTGGTCAATGTAGAGCTGCTGGTCATGTGCGCGTGTGGTGTTCGGGGGATTCTGTGAAATGAATCCCATCGTGATATCGTAGTTCAAGTGTTTAGACCACAGTCGGCTACGTAGTGGCGTGGCCGTCGACAGCTTGTAGAGTCGGGATGTGGGTGTCTGTTCGGTGCTAAAGACAAGCGTCACTTGTACCTACAGGCACCGACCAGCCTGCTACCTTTCTCCAGCCGACGCAGTGCTGGCCACAAGCCTTCGGGTAGAATCACAAGGTGCTGCATCAGTCGCGGCACTCCTCAAGCTACGCCATGGTCACTTGCGTAGCACAGGGCCACGTAACCGCCGCGAGTCGTTTCAGATCCGTCAATTTTGCTTTTTCCCTCGAGATATCCGCCCAATTCCCAAGTCAGATTCATCTTGGTACACATCCCTTTCTTGCGGTCCAGCACAAAGGTGCGAAGTCTGTTGATGACGACGAAGATGTTGGTTCACGATGTGGGTGAGTGGCCTCCGCAATCGCCCCGAACATTCCAACATCCACTAGCGATGTAAATTTCGAGGCCGTGGACGAAAGGGCCAGAGGGGGCCAGCCTGTTTAGACCACACGCTGGTAATTGTAAGAAACTCGGGTTCGACTCTCGTGCAACGTGGGTTTGTGGCCCTTCAACTTGATCTGGGACGGTGATTTGGGTCGACGGACGGCCGCGAAATCGATGGCCCGTTGTACTCGCATTGCTAAAGTTATGTTTCGAGGTGGCGGAGCAGTGGAACAGACCGGTTGGGTATGAAGGGTACTGAGCGCAATACCAAAATCCGAGGCCAAGATGTGTTGGTCGCCATGTCGGCAATTGCGGGGGAGACACGACGACAGGGAGAAGCATGTGCTGTCCGCACTTCGTCGTGGAACGTTCAGGTGACTTGGGAATTGTATTATGTTGTTTCTGGGATCGAATATCATTGGGTCGACCAAAAGTCGCCGGACAAAGGTCGCTGGGATGACCATGGCGACATCCTCGCACGACGCTGGCCTGCTAGAAGCAAAGCTGCATGGGTCTAGCGCAGCAGAACAAGTACGTGATGATGCGACAAACGTTTGTATCTGTAGCTGACGCTTGTCCAGGTAGTGATTGTTGATGGTGAGAACAAGGTTATTGGGAACGCCACACGGGCGGTGATGGTACAAGTTCCCAGGTTTTGACACAGCGCACCCTAACGCCCTGCGTAGAAGGTGTATAACCTCCCACATCGTGCCACATATATCGTCGTTCGCAATTCTTCGTACGTGTGCACGCGCGGGAAGGTCCTGCTTACCTTCCCTCGTCCTCTACAGCGGTCTCTACTACGTGCAGCGCCGTTCAAGCACTAAAGACTATTGCCCTGGGCTCCTCGAACCTATGGCTGGGGGCGTCGTAAAATTCGACGAGGCCTACGACGAAAGCGCGGCTCGCGAGCTTGAAGAAGAAATGGGCATTCGCGGTGTTCCGTTGACCCACATTGCCACATTCCCTTACTCAGTGCTCACAAAGTTCCATGGCGATGACGTCTCACGCATTTATCTTTGTAGTCACCACCGATGCTCATTTGGAGAGGGCTCTATGATTGTGTGTACGATGGACCGGTGACAAAGCAAGACGAGGAAGTATCGGAGATCCTGCTGCTGTCTGAGCAGCAGATCTTGGATCGCGAACAAGACATCACGCCCGATGGCATGTTTGCATTTCGCGCGTATTTGGCGACAAGGCCACGTGCAATCTAATCACGCGGGGTCTTCCATCCAACAGCATATCCGACGTGTTCACAAATACGTGTCCACTTCACCAAGTCGTCTTGTCAAACTCCATTCTTGCGACGTCGCAGCACTCTTCAAAGTCAGGCGCGTGGGTGATGGATAGACTTTCCCATGTGCTCCCCACACATGCCGAGTGTCGCAGTCAGACGTAAATCACCGGCGGTCTTGGGATGCCTACGACGCATCTATATCGCCCACGAGGCATGGTTACGGCGCATCGGTAACTTGCCTTCCCGAAATGATGTGCTGCTTGGTCCAAACCCGCAATTTCCGGATAAACTTTATCATCCGTAATCCTTAAATCTATTTTTCAACATGGAAGCGACCTTGGAGCAGAAGCTCAACAGCCTGACGGCCCGCGAACAGGTAGTATTGTCTTCTCATCATGTTAGCATGATCAGCAGAGAAATGTCTAGGTTGCGATCGTAGACTTGGACAACAATGTCGTCGGTAAGGCTGATCGTTCTGTGATGGTGCGTGGCGGTCAATGCTCGTTTCCAGTGTTCAGCTCCATGTCATAGCGTGTGTTCACACTTCCCCATCGCGCGACGTACATAGTCATTCGCAACAGCGCGTATGCTAATCCGCTTATTTTGCAAACTGTGAACCATCACGCCATCGTAGGGGTGACTTTTACGTGCAGCGTCGCACGATGATCAAGGACTATTGTCCTGGGTTTCTCGACCCAATGGCTGGTGGTGTTGTTCAAGCGGGCGAAAGCTATGAGGACAATGCAATTCGCGAAGCCGAAGAGGAAATGGGCGTCTCGGGGGTGCCTCTAACCTATGTCACGACATTCTTGTACAACGTGCGAACCTCCACACGTTTCACCACTGTTATGTGATGGAATGCCTTGGCTTCACAGGAATCTTACACGGTGGTATGGGGTGGCATGTTTGAATGCGTATACGACGGGCAACTGAAGTTGCAACCCGAAGAAGTGTCCGAAGTCCTCATTATGTCGGCCGCGGACATCATGGCGCGCGCAAACGAGTTTACGCCGGACGGGATCTTCGCCATGCGGCTGTACCTCGACTGGAAGGCGCATGATGCGTCCAAGTAGCAACTCGACAACACGGTGTGGTTTTGTGGCTATTTTATTCCAACGTTTTCAACAAGCGAAACAGACCCGCCGCTTCCCGGATCCGACTAAACTCGATGCAAAAGGCTTGCACTTCAATAATTAAGTCCTAAGCACAAGTCAAGACTGGCGCATGCGTCGCGACGTACCTGCACATTGATGATCTTGTTACGGATAAGCGACTGCAAGAAGACGCACACGAGGCGAACGAGACGGCTTTGCATGTACTTGTCCTTGATGTTTTCGCACGACGAGATGCAGTTTGAAATGTACAAGTGGATGAACTCAGTCGGCAATTCAACCGCGGTCGTTAAACGGTTCACCACTTCCATCGAGTGCAGCGACATGTCCATGTTGACAAGGGCCGACAAGTACTCGGTGATTTGGTTCGACGACATGAGCTTCAACAAGCACTCAATCGCGATCATCGGGTTGTTTTCGACCAGGTCGGGCAGCCGAGCCGGCGTCAGCTGGCACGAGTACACGAGCTTCGGGTCTGCGTCCAGGTCGGCCAGCACCTGCGTCCACCGCGACGATGAGATCTGTCGAGATGCAGTGATTAAAGAACCACACACCTTTTGCTGCTGCGACGGCACCAGCGGGCCGTGGAATGCCTTGGACATGAGGTCCCGCAACTCGCGCCCGCAATCGATGTCTACTTCTTCGTACATTGCTGTGTCCCAGAGCAATGTGGGGCAGTAGTCCGGGTTGAGCCACATAAACTCAGTCACGTCGGGTTCGAGAATTGTCGGAGGAGGTCGGACGAACGATGGATCGACGCTGAGCATCGTGAATGTGTCCAGATGCAGGTCTTGGACATTCAGTGGCGCTTCGTCGTCAGTGTTCACGGCGTTGATGTCGGACGGCGCGAGGAGAAGGTTGTGGTTACCATGCTCTTGGAATTCCAGTGGTGAATGGGACAACACACCACGGATACCGTGGGCTCGGCCTTCAGGTACGCGCGGCGTTTTCTCGACGTAGAGTTGCTTATCCAGGTCAAGGTTGATCGACGCTGCCTTGGGCTCGTTGCGAAAGAAATTCAGCACCTGTTTCGCATTCATGTGCTTCTTGCTCGGTTCGGAAGAGTTGCCGCTCAAGCTCATGCGCGCCAGGAGGTGTAGCAGAAATCGCTTCTCGGCGGGGTCGACCAACGGCGCGTCCACTGCTTCCACGAGGCACGGGAAGAACGGGTTCGTGTTGTTTTCGTTCCGAAACACTTCGCTCAAGATCGTAAAGCCCACGATGCGTTGCGCGTTTGTCAACAGGTTGTCGACCACGAGCAAGCAGATCATGCAGCCCACCTTAAAGTGGTCGTTTTTCGTGAAGGACCGTAGGAACAGAGACACGACTGCCTCCAGGGATTTCTCGTCTTCCTACATCCAAGCCATCCGTGAGAAAACACCCTTCCCATGGCCGCAGAGCACTTTACATACATTGAGGATGGCCAGCAGGGGCACCATTTCCCTTGCGTCCAGCATCGTTGTCGGCGAGATTTTCGATATTGGTCTTGTTCCTTGTGCTGTTTTCACCACATCGCGGTAGGCCAGAGGGACTTGAATAGAATTACGCAAATTATAATTGTCAGCACTGTTTATATTGCATTTTCAAATTCAATAGGTGCAAATTTATTTTAATATTCTGCATGAGTATAGCATTGCGGTGCCGGATAAAGTAATGCGCGGAGGACCGCTCAACGCACATGTGGCTCGCATCCCATGCGAATGCAGCGATGGATTCCAGCCGCATGCACAAGATCACCACACCGGCGCTCATGGTAATCAAGGCCACACGTGGGTCATGAGCAACGTCGCGTTGGAAGTTGTGGTCCATCATAGGCACACACGGCTGAACAATGGTGCGACGCCAAACTCTATTACAAAAGTTGCTCTGGGTGGTCTTCTCGAACAGCCGAGAGCGTATGCGGGCGATCTCGAATATGCTGCAGCAATTCTTGCGCGCCTGCAACGTCTCGATTGTTGAGTTTCGTCACAAAGTTGCGCAGCTCGATTTCTTCGGGCGAGTGCGTCGTGCAACCTCCGCCTTCGCACATGCATGCGCCACCGTATTCTTGCGGGATATTTTCGATATCGATAAACTCCAGCAGTGCCTTGGTGATTTCGGCCGCGCCTCGGACGACAATGGTCTGGCCATAAATTCCATCGTCAGTGCGTCCGTGTGGTCGCTGGCGAATTTCATACCTTGTCGCGAGTCTTGGGATTGATCAAAGGCGCCACGACCTTCCAGATCATATTGAACCATGCGGGGGGATTCACAATGATGACTTTGTAGATACGCTCGGCGTTGTAGTGGCCAACGATGAACCCGAGCTTCTTGACGAATACAAAAACCTCGCTGCTCATGGCGTCCATGGAGATACCCTTGAGGTCGATGATGCGAAGCATTTGACCGTCGGGGTATGGTCGCGGATCGAGCACCTTCCATTGGTACTCCATGATAAACGCCGTGTGGTAGCATCCGTCGTCTGCTGTCATGCCGCGGGCAAACAGTGCCTGCATGCTCTTCTTCATCGTGCCTGACTTGTCGAAGAGAACCATGCGACCACACTTGTCGCGCTTGTGGATGTAACTCACCGTGCACTCTTTGAACTGCTCACAGCACACGACACACGTGAGGAACTCCCTTGATATGGAATGGACGAAGCACGTTACCGTGGCAAAGTTCTCGTGGGGCTTTGCCAAAATGTTATCGATGTCTTCCGCCTTGCGCCAGTTCATCATGAAGAAATACTTCCTCTTGGCGAGCTCAACGTCCCCGGACGCGCCTTCCACAAACCGCCGGAACAAGTCGTTGTCGGGGGTGTCTTCTTCCTCAGCGCTTCCACCGGCGCCGCACTTAGGCCCCAGTGACACTTGCTTGCAACTTATGACGCGGTGGGTGGCAAACCCGCTGGACCAGCTTCGAGTCGCCCACATCACGGCCACATGCGTCATCCATTCAATCGTGGTCGGGGCGAGAATGGCCATGGACAGCAGCAACACACAAGATGCGACCATCAATGGCAAAACCACGGGCCCCACGAGACCCACCACGAGGACCATGCTCCCCCCAATCCAGTCCACCTTTACCTTCGAGTGCGATTCTACAAGCGCATGGTCACAAACCTCGATCTCTCGGTGTTTTCAAGGTCAAGGCACGTTACCACCAGACGTGACATGCACATCGAGGCCTTGGGGGTCTTCCACCGAATGTGGCATCTCGCAGTACTGCCGCACAACCTCATGACTCGACAGGGGTTGCTGAAAGCAATTCTTTGTCAGCATGTCATACGTGTAGGCAGCAACCCCCGACGCGATGGGACCTGTCACATACACACGGACGACGGTCGACGGAAAGAGTTTGACCGCCATGACGTCGCCAAACTGGGGAAACGCCATCACGACTTGCTCGGGCAACGTCGGAGCGTGCTGAGCGGTCACGGACGTGACAGAAAAGTCCTCTGGTCTCACACCGCGCTGGAGTTTGTACAGCGCATCCTGGAAAAGCTGCATGGTATGCACCAAGATGTTGTGGATGGCATGACACTGGTCTTTGTCCTTGGCTCGAATTCGGAAGATTCTAGGCCCCAAGAGTCAGAGGTCGTAGTGAAAACGTTATTCATACGAACCGGCCGTCTGCGCGCACTGTGGTCAAGATGGTCGGGTACTTTTCATTGATGAAAACATGCAGGATGTCCGTCATGTGCACCGTGGTCCGCACTTCCCCGAGCCCAGTGTCGGCGTAGTGCTTGAAGCACAGAATTTCGGCGGGCGTGATGACCAGCATCCGGTCTTTCCAAATCGCGACGTTTGTGTTCATGTTGCGGCTGGCAAGCGACCGCCCGGTCATTTTCAGAGACCCAAGGTACAGCACACTGTCCATCGTGGCGTCCTGCTCCTCGACCATACCGCTGTAGAGGACGCCTCCAATGGATGAGTCGTTTGTCGTGGACTCGTTTTCTTGAAACAACGAGGTGCCTCGCTTGATACCAACACGCTGCTGGAGGACCTCCTTCGTACACCGATCGCACACACGGACGGCACGCAATATACCAAACTGCGGCAGTGGCAGTTGGTTCTTGCTGTGGGAACTGCATACGGAATTGCCACAATTTCGGCAATGGTGTTTGTACCGCCGAAGTCCCAAATGTGTCCGACACATGTGGCATTCGCTCGTCCCTGTTGGTTTCGGTGGAGTTTTCTTGCCACGAGCTGGTGTCGGCTTCTCCTTTTCGTCCGACGTATCGTCGCTTGCATCGGAAATGCGCGCGTCAGAGACTGTGCTGTCAATTCTGTCGCGTTGGAAAGGTAGGCGAATCTTGGATTTGAACAAACCGGTCTTGGTCGGAGGTAGTACCGCCATCGGCTGCACAGAGTCCTCCTTGTCATCGTGCACCGGTGTCGTTGTGGACTTGCGTTGCTTCGCCATGAACTGAATGGTGCCGAGTGGGGAGGCCTTCTGCATCGTTGTTGAGACTCACGAGGGTTGTCGTCAAGGGCACTCACCGTCGGTGGGCAAGCTACAGGTCGGTCTCCGTCGACGGAGTTTTCGATTTGAAGGTTTGTCCGGATAATTTATTGACGGCGTGTGTCATATTTCAGGCGCATTAGAAATTCCCTGTTGTCAGGTTTGCATTGGGAATTCTCCCATGAATGGTGGGTGGGGGAAAGCACCCAAGCGGCTCTGGACTGCTGTATACGTGTACTACTCTTTTCCAGAATTGTTGACGCTCTGCACTTCCTATTGGCGACATTTTTCAAATACAGGTAATCCCTGTCTTAATGGAAGTCCATCAAACTTAATAGCTGTTACATTCTATAGTGTTGATTCTCATCAATATACAAAGGTTTTTTGGTGACACTGTCAAGCATTTCAAAAATTCAAACTTACTTAAGTAGTGGCCTGAACGTGTGGTCACTTATCCATATTGTCAAATGTTAGTGTGGAATACCTGCCCCCCAATACGACGTCGCACTTGCAGCCGCTTGACGGCGGAATTATCGCTTCCTTCAAGAAGCATATCCGCCGCCAACAAGACCATGACATTACTATGAGACTTCTTGCCCTACGAAAGCACCATATTGAGCAACAGACTCAACCAACTCGCCAGGAAATTGCTCACCGGTATGTCGTTGACATACTAGAAGCTATGCGTTCGGCCCAAGCAGCTTGGGAGCAGGTTTCGGAAGCTACAATTCAAAACTGCTGTCGTCATACTCTTGTTGTAGAAGAGAATGTTGAAGAGGTTGTTACCTTAATGGAGCGCTTGCATGTTGGCGCCCCTTCCATGCGCTTCTCGTCGATTTGAGTTAATGACATAATTAAATGTGTGAGTTTGAAATGGTTGGTTTGTCGGAAGGTTGGTATATTCTCTATGAAACAGTTACTTCTCAAAATCAATAAAGAAAAACTGTCAAACTTTTGCTTCCATTAAGACAGGGATTACCTGTATGTGGCCATTTTCGCAGATGATTGGTCTACCAAATTGCGCAAGATCTCAACTTTGATTGGACATTTTCAGTGCCCTCGAGTCATTTTCGTCTTGACGTTTCAAAGGGTTTCAAACTTGCATGCTTAAATCAACATCGAACATCTAATCTCCCTCCCTATTGGCGTCTTAACAGCTTGAAACACCGCCACTTGGCCCCCACGAACCCTGATGGCTACATAGGCTGTTTTCGGCCTATAACGCAACAACTACATCTCTCACAGCGGGCATGCAAAACAAGCAGCCCCTCAGTTGGGATGAGCGCCGTGCAGCGAACGAAAAGCTGACGGAGGCATCGAAGCATGGCCTACAGCCTCGTGAAGCCACCAATAGTATAGCTACAATGGTTGGATGTATTCACGCACGACTTCGCGCCTAGAATAGTGGTCGTTTCAATCTGCTCGATTGCAGCACCATTTCCAATAGGAAGATTTCGCAACTCCTGTTTTTCCCATTCCCACAGCCATATCCGGTTCTATGGGATATGGAGTGGGAAAGTAGTTTCGACCATTTCGAAGGTTACATTTATAGACATCCCTGAAACAATGCTAACTACTCAGTACCATTTCATTGCTCAATGGAGAACACTGACTACACATTCGCTCTCTTCTTGGTCAAGTGGGCAAAGAGAAAGTAATTTCGCCCCAAGCTGACAATGGCCCT